GATCTCAGAAATTTTCCGTGACAGTGTCTCAGATATGTTAATTAAGATGGGGCAGACATGCCCAGAAAATCAAAAGCGATAATGGGATCCTCCCACCATCTTCCATTAAGTAGTCTGAGCCTGGGATTTTCAGTCAGAAATCTCTGCTTACTACCCTGCAGTTCTACGCAGAGTCTTAAACCTTTTATTAAATACACAGGAAAAAGAAAAGAGAAGCATTTGAAATGTGAAGTATTAAGTATAGCTTTCATTTTAACTCTTATTTCCTTTTCCTTCAGCTTTAGGGACTTCTTACAAAGAAAGCTAACGTTAAGCATTTCTTTAGATCAACACTAAAGATATCTGTCCTTTTTTGGGAGAAGAAAAAAAAAAAGGTTACTTAATGCAGGCTTTAACTGCACTTGCTGGAACTTAAGCCTTGTTCCTTGAAAACAAATGCATGGGGGTGGAGAGGGGTGGGACCTCAAAAAAAAAAAAAAAAAAAAAAAAAAAAAAAAAGGAAAATATAAATTGCATTGCTTGTGCTGACTTCTGCCAGCTTAGAATGATTGACACAAAATATGCTTTTAAAACTAATTCAAAGATTTGGCATATTTCTACTAGCATTATACTGCGAGAGACACTGCTGTAGCTACAGTTTTACCTGTTGTGTTGACTTACACTACTATCGGAGGAGGAAGGATTCAATGTGTAAAATGAGTAGGAAATACTAAAGAAAATATGGAGAGAGGAGTATGAAAGTATTGAGGTAACAGAAGAATGTGAATCTTGTGTTACTTTGAAATCAAATGTAGCTTTATGTTGCAGTTTATTAATTTCTAAACATAGTTCATATTCAAAACTCATAATTTCTTTTGTATTATTCAGAAGTAGGCCAGTGGGAAAAAAAACCTGCAGTGAGGCACAAAAATAATGGCATATAAATTTTTTTTTCACTGAATGTACTAAAATATTGTCCTGCTTCTGCCATTGTGTTGTTTGATAATGTATATTCTCATTTGCTTCAGTAACAACAGGGATAGCTTATATGTATTTTGTTTTTTGAGTTACTCCCCACATAGAGGTCCATGGGTTGGTAGGAATCCATTTTTCATAGACTCACAAGCCTAAGATTAATTAAAACATGCATTCACTGTTGTTAAATAAAATTTGTCCAGATGACATTTTAAAAATAATATAAAGGTGATTAGCACCCGATGTCCTTTTTCAAGGTATTATTCAGGGAACAGTTAAATTACTAGGAACTTGATCAATGAATCATGTAATAGAAGAAAATTAGCTGCCAGGCTTGTCATAAATAGCTTTTTCATTGACAAGGAATCCTGAATACAAGGTTCTGAGTCTCCTCAATTCCTCCTTTCTTCTCCTTTTCCGTCCATACTGATCTTAGTCCTATAGAAGTTCCATATATATGTCAGGTGAGGTAGAGCAGCCACGTTGGTGTTTTTGGCGAGAGACCAAATTATGAACATGTCCTTTATTTGTGTGTGCTGTGAATACGCACAGATCAAAATTTAGCCATAAGTCTGTGGGAAAATAAATTGTCATATTTTTATGTTATTTAATGATTCCCCAGTATAAATCCAGGATACTCTAGAGGTAGGGGCAGACTGCAAAGATGAAAACATGATGCAGTTTAAATGGGAAGAGATACCTGGCTGATTGGAGAGGAGTTCATCTGTGGACTCCTGTGTGAGTGAGCGCATAGTGAAGTAAACAGTGTATGTCTCAGACGACTCCTGCCTCGCTGCCAGCTGCTGGCTGGAAGGCTGGACCTCTGTGGGACTGTCAGCTTGAGGTATTAAGTTAATTTTGTATTTGTCAGTGTCTTGTCCTGGTTCTCCCTCACAGTTGCTCTGATACCTTTTTGGGAAATGGTGCAATAAAGGGCGCGTTTGGGCTTATGTAAGTAAATTGCATAAAGTTCTGTGAAAAAGCAAAGCTGAAATTAAAACTTTGCAATGACAGCGTCAACTTACTGCATTTCTAGTATCTGTCTATGTGGTTACTAGAAGGACAGTTGAGGAACTTCTAAAGTGGTTGGCTTCCATCTCCTTGTGAAACCACTTTATTCCCTTTTCTAAATTACGTTACTCCGCATTAAGGCATCGTGTAATCATCTGACCTTCTCACACATGAGCAAAATAAATGTCTGCTTACACAGGATCACCCTTTTTATTTGAAAGAAAACTTTATCCGCTGCTGCTATTTAAAGGCCTACATAACTTGTCTGTAACAGGATATAGAATCATAGAGTCGTCTAGCTTGAAAGGGACCTTTAAGATCATCAAGTCCAACCGTCACCCCAACCCTGCCAAAACCACCACTAAACCATGTCCTTCAGCAACATGCCTACCCGTCTTTTAAATACCTCCAGGGATGGTGAATCCACCGCTTCCCTGGGCAACCTCTTCCAATGCTTGACAACCCTTTCTGTGAAGAACTTTTTCCTAATACCCAGTCTAAGCCTCCCCTGGCATAACTTGAGGCCATTTTCTCTTGTCCCATCACTTGTTACTAAGCAGAAGAGATTGACCCAAGTAGATATCGAGCCCCATGCAGATATTTTAAAAATATAATACTACTCCTTTTCAACTTTCAAGAAAATATACTTTGTGGAAATGCTTGGATTTAAAGCAGATATTTTCTGAATCCTATTGCTTTGTTTATTTTGTCATGGAAAGGATTATGCTGTGTGCCTCACATCTGGAAAAGACACACATGGTAATGGACTTTTTAAAGGCTGAGGAGACACCAGTTTTGAATTTAGGGCCAATCTAATATTATTCATTATAATGTTTTTTTGATCTGCACTTTTATTGTTGGTTCAGTAGCCTCTTTGTTCTCTATGTCCTTGGGGATAAATGGTACTGAAAAGTTTGCTTTTTCAGTAGTTCCATGGACTGGGTATAAAAGTCATGTCTGAGCTGTCAATAGGAACTGTTTTGCTCTTCCACAAAGTCTCATATGGCTACATCTGTTACTTTTATTATGTAAATTATTTTACACCATTTTTTTTCAAGAAGGTGATAAAGATGCATAGTGTCCAAAGGCTTTTATATTTTAGTGTTTAAATAGTTTTAGTAATTAAGAGCTACTCAAGTAAAGAAAGTTGCACTTTCACGTTTGCACTCTACTTCCTATTAAGTGAGCAATAACTATAGGAGTAATCAATTAAGGTTGGTTGGCAATAACTTCTGTATTTGTTGATATATTGACAGCTTTTGGAAAATGATTTGGAAATCTGCCTTTTAGCTCCTTGATAACTTTGATGCTGTCTTGTAGTGGAGCAATTAACCATAAGCAGAAAAAGCTGTTAAGGGTATAGTCCTTTGTTTTTCACTGAAAGTATAACAAAGATTTACACAATTAAAAATAACTTTTGAGAAGAGGCTTTTCTGGCTTAAAGTGCCTAAATAATCATTCCATAAATGTAGAGGGGAAAACATGAGTGGATTTAGGAAGACATAACTGATTATATAGTAGCAGTACTTCAATGAACATTTATTGCAGAGTGTCAAGATCATAGCAAAATTACAAAATATAGCACTCTGTGGTAACGGTAGGTGTTTTTCAGAAATGTTGTTACAAGCCGTATTATGAAAGAGAGAAAACCGTCACGTATCATTACATGCTGCATACAAATTTCTGAATCGCTCCTTCAGCTTCAGCTGGCTATTTACCAAGTTCTGAGGGCTGAATAAACCATAGAATTTCTGACATTGAAATATTGTGTCAATAATATGTTTAATTGTGGTTTTGGTGTGGCTGTTATGTTACCTTTTTCCGTTTGTCTTAGGCTGGGGCAGAGAGGTTAGGGGTGTATGGTATGGACGCTGTCACAGAAGTAATCATTGTGTCTTATTCCTTATCAGTGTAATGGGAACATTAAAACTCAATACCTCTGATAGAAATTCAATATTAGGATTATAAAGTGGAAAATAAACTTTTATTATACACAGGTCACCACTTAGCATCGTATATGTTCCCAAGCAGGAGCCCACGTACTAAAACTTTATCTTAGCTGTAATTAAAACTTCAGGGAAGGTACAATATGATCATGAATGTAGGTTCAGAGTTACTTTGTATTAAAGAAAGGCTTCAAATGTAGTGTGAATATTAGCAGGTAATTATTCCAGTCTGATGTGAGAACTTATTGACACATTTACCAGAGGGAGGTTATTAAGTTTTGTACGCTTGGTTAGAAAAGAGGGAGGACTGCCTAAACAAGATAGTCATTCGTATAAACAGAGGAAGGAAAAGCAAAAAGAAAGCTCAAGAGTTGGGAACGTGAAGGTTTGTTTTGAGGGGAGAATCAGTCAGGCAGCAAAAATGGCAGAGAGCAGATCACTGCGGAGAGATTTACTTTAGCAACTGAGTTTAAAAAGGAGTGCAATGATGATGTTTCTGTGTTTCTCCTACAGTTCAAATTTCAGGAGCTTTTAAAGGTGCCTGGTTTTTGCCTTCTAGAATATTCTTGTTGTGGACCACAATGGTGGTATTAACTCTGCCTTTGTTCAAATGGTTGCAAAGCTTTCTTTTTGTTTGCTTTTGTCAAAAGCAAGAGTTCCAATTATATTAGACATTTTACCAAAAATCCACAGTAATACTTTATTTAATTACACATTTGAAACTAATGGAATTTTGCCATTCCTTTTGCTGTTGGTCAGAAAAGATGAATTGTTAATAGTTTTCTGTATTGCGCCGTGAAATGGTGGACTTTAATGGCTATTCTCAAACTGTTATTATTTAAGGTGTGGAGGAAAGCCCCTAATGACACATCATGCGTGGTTCTTAACTCTACAGAAAATAAGCTAAATGATGTGCTAGTGAAATATTCTTCAAAGCAGTTTATAATTGAAGTAGTAATATTTTATTTTTTTTTAATACAGCTTGTAGGAAATGTGTTTAGGATGAAGTGTTAAAATCCATGAAAATTCCTTTAGTTATAAAGTAAAACGTAGGTGAATAAATCTCACTTTTCTGTTTTGATTTTATAGCTTGCACATGCAGCGGACATGCAAATATTTGCCACATGCAAACAGGAAAATGTTTCTGCACGACTAAGGGAATCAAAGGAGACCAGTGTCAACTGTGAGTACAATTAAATGTAGCCCGAAGTTATTGCAATTCCTGCCTAGTATATAATCACTTTTTTCCTTTTTTTGTTTTGCTTTTGGTTTTGGATTTTGTTATTGACCTGACAATGTTTTAGTGATGAATCTAGTATTCCCTACATTTCTTGGGAAATTTCAAAGTTACTTACTCTTTTTTTAAAGAATTATATCACAAATATTAGTAATATTTTGCAGACACTACTGATTTAAAAAAGTATCCTGTAAAAAGAAGTAACTGGATAATTACCTGTAGTTGTCTTCCTTTTTTTAGGATTTTTAAAAATTATTGTAAGTAAAAAAAAAAAAATCTGAAGAATTGATAATTATATTCAGTACATTTGTCACGTATCTTGATCAGAATCTACCGTGATTAGATTTTTAGAGTGCACAGTGTTTTAGACATTTTCTCATATCCTTAAATATAGAAAAGAGGAATGTGTAGACCTGTCATGGAAAGTAAAGTTACTGTATCTTGTTTTGTACTGGAATAGCTTATTGTGTTTTTTAGAGCAATAGTTTGCAACACTATGAGTAGCCTTATATTTAGAGATATTTCTTTAAGTTCATTCTATCCTGTACACTGCATTATCCAATAGGAACCTTAGTCCTTTCACAATTATGGTTATTTTAAATAGTATCTCACCCCAAAATTGTCTTAGCAATGTTAGTTGGAACTGGGGAAAGGCATAAATACAGCTTATTCCTCTGCAGCAGAGAGAGGTGCCGGAAGGTTATGTTCTGCCTGCTGCAAGGTGGATTCTTTCACTGGATTTGTGGATTCATCTTTGGTGCACTATTAACTGGCTTGAATCCCTACCCTTAACGCTTTGCTTCATAAATAGTCAAGAAACAAAAATATCTAATACAGAGGTGATGTGTATATTCATGAGAGCTGCGTGGGCAGGTAGACTGTTTCAGTGGTACCACTGGGCCTTTTTGTCTAGCTAATTGGAGACTCTCAGGATGAGATGTCCTAATCTTGGTTTCCCTAAACGATGAATTTTTATCATGAAAAAAGCTGAAGAGTGATAATATGTTTAAACTCTGAATTGTCTTCACTGAGAAGTTATTTTTTCCTCTTTTTGTGTCCAAACACTTAATCAGTTCTAGATGTTAATGAATGGTTTGATTACCAGTGTGCTACAGGCATATGTTGATGCCATTCTACCTATTTACCAAGAATGGGGAAAAAAAAAAAAAAAAATCTACTCCTCTGTACATCGTAACACTTGAACTACAGGAAACAATTTCTTTGTTCATAACTCCAATCCGCTACCAACTACCATTCAGCCTGAGGCGCTCTTTACAGACCTTTTCCCCAGTCTGTATTTCACATATCTGTTTTGCTATTCCTTTCTCTTTGTCCTGTGTCCATTTCATCATTGTTTGCTCTGCTCTGATTTGGAACTTTTGTCTCATACGATTCGTTGTGCTGCTCAGCCATATCAGTCTGTGGTCCTGGGTTTATGTCTGTCATAAAAGGTTCTTTTATCCCATGTCCTGAATTAGAAGAGAAAAGGTCGTTCTGGTGGTGGACTTTCCTGTCCTTGTCAAGGACAGCAATTCCACAAAATTCCACAAAAAACGGAGATTTGAATTATGACTTTTCCAGAATAAAGTTAAAATTGCAATTTCAGACTGAAATCCTGTGTTTTGTCACATTGTAATACATCCCCCTTCCTAGATTCTTACATAGACCAAAGGCTTATCCAGGACAAGCTGTGTTGTTAAAGCCTTTGGTATTCCAAATGTTTTCTTTTGGTTGAAATAAACTCTGCACAGCAGCCATTTTCAAATTGTTTTTGGCTGTGATCACATTTCAGATTGTGAACTTCACATCTGTTGGGATCATAGACACAAATATTAACATAAAAATTGAATTTCTGCTCTTAAGTCCTTTCCTAACTGTTTTTAAAAATAAAATAAAATTAAAAAAAAAAAAAAGGCTGTGTAGACTGTCTAGTTTATGACAGCACATGTAGAAAGAGACTGGTTCCAGTAACAGACACTTTGAATGTATTAGGAAACTATCTGGGGTAAAATCTTAGCACTGGAGACTTATTGTAAGACCGCTGGATATTCTGAGGAAGGCCGATAACCACAGATTTAGAGTTTTAGTGCACGTCATCAGATGATACACTTAGGATTTGTCATTTTACTCTGATGCTTGGTTTGGGAGAGTGATCCATTCATCTATGGAAATTTCAGTCAAATGTTTTTTAGTTATTTCCCTCAGAACATCAGGAGATGAAGAACTTGAAAAACAAGTCACTCCTGAATCACTGAATCCAGTCCTGTAGTGCCATCTAATATGTAAACTTTGTAGCAATAATGCAAACTTAATCAGATTGTATGTTTAAAAAAAAAATAGAAAACTATTTTCACTGTAAAAATTATCCTTACACTTAAAACCCGTTTTGAAAGTATTGTATGATATTGTCAAAATACATATACTGTCGTTATTTAGAATATAAGGATTATTTTAAATTGGCTAAATGCTTTACTTGTATTTATTTGTTTATTATATTCTATATAAATCATTTGTAACTTGATTCGAAGTGTGAATGCTGTTCTCCATAGCTCTGGATAAAAATTGTTTTTTGCCGGTCGTTAGGCTGTTGTGCAATCTCAGCAGCGAACCTATAACCCTGTGATTTCTAAAATAAGGATTTCTGTGAAAATTCCAAACTCTAGCTGTTTGGTGTGAAAGTTAGATTTATATTCCTGTCAAGAATCGTATTGATTCGAAAGTCATAGCTGCAGGGTTGTATGTTATCTCCCTCTCTCCCTCCCTGCATCTCTTCCTCCTTCCCTCTGATGCTTTTATATCTGCCTGTCATGTGCAGTGCACACCATACCTTGGGGACAGAGTTTTTAGGAAATCAAGGAAACTTTACAACACTTTTTTTTTCTTTTTCTTTTTCCTCTCCTTGGCTTAAAAGCAGCTAGTTATTTGTGGGTTTATGGAGGATCTTCTTTACTTTTTTCCTTCTTTTATTATATATTTTTTTTAGTCTAGCGATCTGTTATATTAATTTCTGAATTGTGCTGTTGAATAACAGGAAGCACAGTGGCAGTTTTAAATCAAAATTAGTGTTCTAAAGCAGCGTTGAGCATATTTACATTCTATTTTACAATGTTTTAACATTTTTTCCAAAAAGAAACATTTTTGTTTCCTTTAAGTAGGTAGTTTCAGTTGGTAAAAACCTACATTACTCTCCTAATCAGGAAGAACTGATTAGAATGGTTTCATTATTCAAAGTAACTAGACTGTAAAACAATAAAACAAAGTACGAATAAAAAAAAGGTATATTTTTGCCCTTAATTTTAATAATGAAATGTGCCATTGATAGTAACAGGAAAATCATATTGACTTAAAACATATTTTTAGATGAATACTATTACTTTAAGATAATTTTATTTAATTTTCTGTAATATTTGATTTACTAGCTGCTCATTTTATTCCCTCATAAAATTTTGCCTACAGAGGTTTTAAAATTTCTGTGGGTTCCAGTGTATCCATATGCAGGATTATATACACAGATAAATTTTCAGGAATAGGCCTAATGAAATGTAAGGAATATGCTAAGGGGAGGTTTCAAATTTCAAATTCTGATATTAAATGAGAGAACTTTTACTGGATGCAAGGAAGAAAAACATGAAAATTACAGAATTGACTGAGTAGTTCAGTCATTCTTTGAGAAGTTTCAGTACGTCTGTGTATTTTTAAGAGACAGCCTTCACCTGGAGATGTGCCTGTAGCTTTTGTCATCCCTTGTAAGTCTGGACAAATTTTGAGCTTCTGGAAAGGTTGCAGATTTACAAACACTTGGTGGAAATAAAGTTTTGTAGTGAATTTTTCAAATTGTCAGGTTTTACTGGATGTAACATTTATTGCACTGTACTTCCCCATTACAGCCATTGCTGGAGTTTTGGGGGAAGGAAATCAATCTCTTTTGTTAAGTACTTTCCACTGTGGCAGATTTTAGGATATTGGACCTGTCCCGTTGGTGTTGAAACTGTATCTTTGAATGATGGGCAGGTTAGATGTTATGTTAGTGTATCAAAGTTCCCAGGCATACATCATGATGATAATTCTTTTACCTAACTGGGAAACATTAAAGTGTTGAGAAGGTCTGCTGTGGTGTGTAAAAAAAAAAAAAAAAAAAAACCCCAACCAACCAACCAAACAAAAAAAACCCCCAAAACCCCAACAGCAAAACCAAAAAAAAAACCAAACCCAAGAAACCAACTACCAGAAAACCATGTAAGAACTGGGCAAAAACTGGTCTTCAAGACTTCTGCAATGGAGAACTGCTAGGTGAATAGAAAATGTTGGGGGGAAAAAAATCCCTTATTTTTAATATCATATTTCATAGTATATTTACGTAGTTTTAAGAAGGATAAATTTAAGAGTATAAAATGTATAGATCCAGGGTATTCTGGAATGAAAAAGTAATGTTTTGCTCATTTTTAATTGTAATAAATATTCAGACTATTCATTTCTTAATCATACTGTTATTTCTTCTGAAGAGGTGGAAGAAATACTATTTTATTTCTAAAAATATACTCTCTTTATTTGGTAAAATCTTCACTGTATGCAAGCTTTAAAAACTATTTAATAATGTAAGGATCTGTGCATAAATAAACACTTATTGATAGTCTGATTTACATAAGAATAAAATTTAAAAATATCCAGCTGTCCTCTTCTGCATAATTCCCCTCCACAGAATGGTATAATTCTTCTTACCAGATGGAAAAACAGGTAAAAATATACTGGATTATGAGTCAAATCCACCGTTCTATTGATATCACTGCAACTTATTTGCTGATAGCAGAGTAAATCTGTTCCCTGTTGTGTCCTCTCAGAACTTCACTTTCTGCTTTCCAGTATGGAAAAAACTGACAGCAATCATATAACAAATTCACTTTGTTAGAAATTCCTTTATCACAGACATATACACAAACCCAAACCAA